TACTGCTGCCCAGGTCACTGCCCAGTATCTTCCCCTGGACACCTGCATAAGTTTCCCTGGAAACCAGTCACCTATCTAGATCATTCCTAATACCACTGCTTCTGTGTGCTTTTCCTAAAAAGTGAAGGGCCACGCCCTCAGCCCCACTGCTTGTCCCTCATCAGCATCCCTTGTCCTTTTCTGTCTCCAGGGGTTGACAAGAGGTGCCCCAGGGCCCTCTGCTCTTCAGCATGCCTTCTGACAATTGCCTACAGCCTCCTCTCCTTCTATCTTCCTGTCCCATCCTCCCCGTGTTCTGTTGGGTCTGCACTGTCCATGTGACAGTTCACTTTGACTGCACCAAGGGAGGCTCTAGATCAGATGGCTCTTAAGGGATGATCTTGTCTGTTGGGTGACAGACACTTTTGGAGGGAGGAAGGATTGGGGGGACTGGATTGCAACTGAATGACTTTGTGTTAAACATTCCTTTTCCTCCCCTCTTGTCCTGCCCTCTGCATTCACACCTCAGGGGGGTGAAGATCCACCCCCACTGGAAGGGCCAGATGTCATCGTGCCTATCCTCAAGGTGATGGTCCTACCTGCTCTGTGGATTTTGGGCTGATGAGTCTGAAGCACCAGTCCAGGCCTGTGCTGAGCTCTGGCACCTTGCAACCCAGAAGCCCATTTGCTGTGCTGAAGCCATTCTCGGTGAGTCCTTTAATGTGACTCTAGCTGCAGACCTGATAAACCTCCTGAGTGCACCTGGTGACCCTGTCCTGCTTTCTTGAACACTGCTGGGAAAGATTGTGATGGGGTAGGCTGAACCATGGGGCAGATCTAGATTGACAGAGACAGAACCTGGGGTAGAGTTTGCTGCACTAATTTAGGCATGTGTTATTTAACCTGAGATCCCCATGTTATGCCCCATGCTCAGCAATGAATCGACCATGTCACTGTGCCCAAAGCAGGTGTGATGGCATGGCCCGGGCTTTGGAGCCTGTGCTCATTCATGTGACAGGGTTTTCTTCCAGGCCTCCACTTGAAGAGTGGGATGCCTTTTATCAGTGCAGGCTTCCTTGTGAAACCTCTGCCCCATTTGGTTACCAAGACACTGCATGCCTGCCAGGACAGCTATTTGGCTACTTTCTCAGCCTGAGATCTCCACCAGATCCGCTGAGTAGGGTCACACTCTCACATTCCCACTGTGGTGATGTCATTCCAATCAGGAATCCTCAGCCATGTATTGAGGGTTCCATCCTGAAGTAGTCAGTGCTGGCCTCGTGTCTATCTGGATGCTCTAAGGGGCACAGTGTCTGCCTGGCACCGAAAGACTTCAGTGCTGTGAGCCCCTGTTGGATTCACATGTTCACATTGCAGCAGAGTGTGTGTGCCTGGGAATCTCCCACTTTGGATGTTGCATGGGATGGTCCTCCCATTGTGTTGGTCTCTTAGAACATATCTGACTCACAGGCCAAGGACACATATGGTTGAAAATAGCTGACCACTTGTGGAAGATCAGGATGCCTGTTTTGTGTTATGAAAAACTTCCCAGGTAGGGAGGGAGGGCTACATTATTAGACAGAGGACTTGCCATTCCAGGCTTGTCCTCCTGTGAGTGAGGCTGTGGCTAACACAGGCAGTTCCACAACTTGACAGCATAGGTGTCTTCAGAAGCTGTGTGACAGTGGGTGGTGCCTTACTTTATGCCATCTCATGTACATGTCATCCCATTGACCACATCCTGCCCCATTTGCACTCTCTGCAGTGGAAGAGCCCTCCTGCAAAAAGGAGGAAGGGGACTCAGCATCTGCAGAGCAGGCCGAGGCTATACCCAGGTAAGTCGGCAGATGGGGTGGGGTTATTTATTATGGACTCCTGGAGATGGCAGACATGGGGAGGAGAGAATGTGCCCCATAAGCAATATTTACCATTCAAAGCTCCTCCCATGAATATTCTGCGAGTACCTCTTCAAAGTTCCATGTGGTGAGGCTGGCCCCAGGGGTCTGGGAGAGGGACACCAGAGCCCTCTGCTCCTAGAATGCTTTCTGGCCTTCTATTGACAGCGACCTCTCCTTCTGTCTTCCTGTCCCATCCTCTCTGCATCCTGCTGTGTCTGCCCAATCCTGTGAAGGGTCTCTTTGTCTGAACAAGGGGAGGATCTAGATCAGATGGCTCTTAGAGAATGCTCCTGTCCCTATTGGTGAAAGACTCTTTCTGAGAGCTAGGAAGGGTTAGCAGTGCTGGGCTGCAACTGAGTGACTTTGTGTTAAGCCCTCATCTTTTCCTCCCCTCTTGTCCTGCCCTCTGCATTCACACCTCAGGGTGTGTGGAGATCCACCCCCACTGGAAGGGCCAGATGCCATCGTGCCTATCCTCAAGGAAGATGGATCCTACCTGCTCTGTGGATATTGGGCTGATGAGCCTGAAGCACCAGTCCAGGCCTGGGCTGGGGCCTGGCACTTTACAACCCAGCAGCCCATCTGCAGTGCTGAGGACACTTTGGGTGAGTCCATTGATATGATTCTTGTTGCAGGTATGATAACCTATGAGCATCCCAATGACCCTAGTTGCTTGCTCTAAGCCCCTGGGGAAAGGTGGTGTTGGTAGGCTTTCCCCAGGGCTACATCTGGATGGACTAAGGCAGAACCCTGGGTGGGTTTGCAGCATGGATGTAGTCTAGGCAGGTGTTTCTTGCCCCAGCCCTGTGCCATGACCCTGCCATTTCTCCCAGGAAATCTGTACTCCTGGCTACCTTCTCAGCCCAAGATCTTAACCAGATGCTCTTGAAGTGGGCTGTTCATTCTCTTGTTCCCATGGTGGAGACTGCACTTCCCCTCTGGAACACTTAACCATGTACTGGGGGTTCCATCCTGAGGTTGTCAATGCTGGCCCCGTGCATCTCGGGATCCACTAGGACCACAGTGTCTGCATGGCACCAAAAGGCGCCTGTTGTGGGAAGCTCTATGGGTTTCCCATGTTCATTTTATGGCAGGGGATAGTAACCAGGGAGTCCCCACATTGCCTGCAGGATCAGATGAGCCTCTAATTGTGCAGTTGAACACTGAGACACCTCAGAGAGCCAGGGGATTGAATGTGGCTGACCCCTGTGGGAGATCAGGATGCCCGATGAGTGAGTTGACACACTCTCAAACAGGGAGGGAGATTTCCATTGTTGGGCAGAGGACTTGTCAAAACATGCATGTCCTTATGGTTTGGTTCTGTTGTTAACCAAGATAGTACCACAACCAGACAGCATAGATATCCTTGGAATCTGGTGTGACAGTAGGCGGTACCTGTGCTTAGCATGCCCTCACATTTGCTTATCATCTCATTTGCCATGTCCTGCCCCATTTGCACATCTTTGCAGTGGAAGAGCCCTCATTTCAAGAGGAGGAAGGTGTGGTGGCACCTGCAGACCAGGCCGAGGCTAATCAGAGGTAAACCTAGAGATGGGTTGAGGGGGCTTTACTAGGGACCCCTAGAGATGGAAGACGTGGGAGAAGAGAAATTGCCCCACTCAAATCTCTTCCTACAAATGCTCTGGAGCACCTCTTGAAGGCTCCATGTGCTGAGGTGGACCCCAAATCCTGCCAGATGCCATCACTTATCCTCCTTTGGACACCTGCACAAATATTCCTGGGCCCAGTCTCCTGTTGAGGTCATTCCTCGTGCCACTGCTTCTGTGTGGCCTCTAAAAACTGAGGGCAACTCCCTCAGCCCCTCTGCTTTTCCTTCATTAGCAACCCTGCAATACAATGATAAAGACAGGGATGCACTGCACAGTTCTGACAGAAATGGGACCCATCCTGGGGTTGTTAAGTACTTTCCCTGGGTTGGAGCATTTCACATTAATGAGAATCTTTTCCCTGAAACTAGACAACTTGCTTCTGGCCGGCTTGTCCTTCATTGTCCTCAGGGGGCTGTGAGAGTGGGCACCAGCACCCTGTGCTCCTTCTTCAAGCCTTCTACTGACAGCTTCCTCTCCTCCTATCTTCCTGTCCCAGCCCCTCTGCATTCTAATGTGTCTGCCCTGTCCATGTGAAGGCTCATGTTGTCTGAACCAGAGGATGATTTAGATCAGATCGATCTTAGAGGATAATCCTGTCTCTCTTGGGTGACAACCCTTTCAGACTGCTAGGAGGGATTGGTGGGACTGGGTTGGTGGAACTGAATGACCTTGTGTTAAGCCCTCATCTTTTCCACCCCTCCCAGCCTCTGCTCTGCATCACACCTCGGGTGTGTGAAGATCCACCCCCACTGGAAGGGCCAGATGTCATTGTGCCTATTCTCAAGGATGATGGGTCCTACATGCTCTGTGCAGTTTGGATGGATGATCCTGAAGCCAGTCCAGGCCTGGGCTGGGCCTGGCACCCTACAACCCAGCAGCCCATCTGCTGTGCTGAGGCCATTGTGGGTGAGTTCTTTGATGTGAAACTTGGTGCAGGGCAGCCAAACCACAGGAGTACACCCATAAACCCTTGGCCTGCTTTCTGCAACACTCTGGAAAAGGTCTGAAATCTTAGGCTATCCACTAGACTTCATTGAGGTGGACTGAGGCAGAACCTTGTGTGGAGTTTGCAGCAACTGTTTAGTGTAGGCAGGTGTTTCTTAACCTCAGAGCCCAGGTTATTCTCCACTTTCTGGCACCAAAGCCAGTGTCACTGTGCCCAAGGCAGATGTTGTGGCATCGATCCACCATGAGCCTGTGCTCATGCATGCGACAAGGTATTTTTCTAAGGCTCCTCTTGGAAGAGTGGGATGCCTTTTGCCAGTGGCAGGCTTCTCTGTGAGACCTCTGCCCCAGCAATTTGCAAAGACAATGTCTGCCCACTAGGCCAGCTATACTTCTGGTCACCTTGCTGAACTGAGATCTTAATCACATCCCTTTGAACAGGGCCATACTGTCTCTCTTATTCCTACTGTGTGATGCCATACTCATCTGGAACCCTGGGCCATGTCCTGAGGGCTCCATCCTGTGGTAGCCAGTGCTGGCCTATTGCCTTCGGGGTTCACTAAGGGACACAGTGTCTGCATAGCACCAAAAGTCTTAGTGGTGTGAAGCTCTGAGGGTTTCACATATTCATATTGCAGCAGAGTGTGTGAGCCTGGAGTTCCCCTGGGATGAGCTTCTCATTGTCTGGTTGGTCTCTTAGAACATATCTAACTCATAGGCCAAGGGCCCATATTAATTGAAAACAGCTGACCACTTGTGGAAGATCATGAGCTGTTGTGTGTGATGAAACACTCCCAAGAAAGGGAGGGCTGCATTGTCAGGCAGAGGACTTGCCATTGCAGGCCTGCCCTCCTGGGAGTGAGGCAGTGGCTGACCAAGGTCATGTGACCACACATTTCTTAGGAAGATGCTAGAATATGGTGTGGTACCTGTGCTTTACTAGGCCATCGCATTTGCATGGTATCTCATTTCACATGTCCTGCCTCATTTGCATTTCTTTGCAGTGAAAGATGCCACCTACCAAAAAGAGAAAGTCATGTTGGCAACTGCTGATTGGGCTGAGGCTACCTCCAGGTAAATCGACAGATGTGTTCAGGGTGTTTTAGTATGGACATGGGGAAATATCAGAGGTGAGGTGAGAGAATGTGCCCTTCGTGTGATTTATATCATTCAGTTTTCCTCCCACAATGACTGGATGCACATCCTGAAAGCTTCATGTGCTGAGTTGCACTGTAACACTGTCCTGCTCACTGCCCATTTACCCTCAGTGGACCCCTGTATAAATTTCCCTGGAAACCCGTCACCTGTCTAGGTCACTCCTAATGCCACCTGCTTTCTGTGTGGCCTCTCTAAAAAGTGAGGGCCACTCCCTTGGTCCCTCTGCTTGTCCTTCATCAGCATCCCTGTGGTGTGATGGTGAGACAGGGAGTGTGCAGGGCATGATGGCACCACAGTGCTGATGGAAATGGAACCCATCCCGAGGCTGTCTGGAGTACTGAAGAGCTTTATCTGGGTGGGAACATTGCACCCCAAGGGGATTCTTTCCCTGGAACTAGACAACTGGCTTCTGGCCAGCTTGTTCTTCTCTGTCCCAGGATGCTGTAAGAGGGCCCTCTGGCCTTGGGCTGACAGACTCCTCTCCTATTTTCCTGTCTCACCTTCTCTGTATCCTGCTGGGTCTGCCCTGTCCCTGTGAGACTCACTTTGAATCAAGGGAGGATCCATTTTGATGGCTGTTAGTGGATGGTCCTGTCCCCATTGTGTGACAGACCTTAAGGACTGCTAGGAAGGTTTGGTGGAACTGGGTTGGAACTCAATGATTTTGGTTTAAGCCCTCATCTTTCCCAATCCTCTCATCCTCCCCTCTGCTTTCACCCCTCAGGGTGTGTGGAGATCCACCCCCACTGGAAGGGCCAGATGTCATCGTGCCTATCCTCAAGGATGATGGGTCCTACATGCTCTGTGCATATTGGGCTGATGAGCCTGAAGCCCCAGTCCAGGCCTGGGCTGGGGCCCTGCACCCTATAATCCAGCAGCCCATCTGCTGTGCAGAGGCCATTGTGGGTGAGTCTTTTGGTGGGAATCTTGCTCTAGACCTGCCAAACCACCTGAGTGCACCCTAGTGACAGAGGCCTGCTTGCTCTATACCCCTGGGGAAAGGTGTGATGTGGCAGGAACTCTGCGCTACTTCTGGATGGACTAAGCAGAGCCCTGGGTGGAGTTTGCAGCAGGGATGTAGTGTAGGCAGGTATTTCATAACCTCAGAGCCCCAGGTGATGCTCCATTTTCTGACAAGCAAGCTGACCATGTTGCTGCATAAGAGGCAAGTGTGATGGCAGGGCCCCAGCCTGTGCTCCTGCATGTGTCAAGGGTTCTTCTAGCCTACACATGGAAGAGTGGGCACCTTTGGCCAGTGACAGGCTTCCCTTGAGGCCCTTTGCCCTAGATGCCATTACACTGCATGCCTGCCACCACAGCTCTACTCGGGTTACCTTCTCAGCCTGATATCTTTCTCAGATCCCGATGAACTGGGCATGCTGTCTCTCTCATTCCAATTGTGTTGATGTCACTCTTCATCTAGAACCCTGAGCCATGTCCTGAGGGTTCCATGCTGAGGTTGCTAGTGCTGGCCTCGTGCCTCTCAGGATCCACTAAGGGCCACTGTGTGAATGACACCAAAAGGCTCTGTGTGTGAAGCTCTGTGGGTTTCATATGTTTATACTGTGGCAGGGTGTACGTGCCCAGGAGTCCCCCACCAATGACTGCTGTGGGGATGAGCCCCCTGTTGTGACACATCAGACATAGACCAAGGAGCCACGTGGTGAAAGCGGCTGGCCCGTCATGGAAGATCAGGATGCCTGATCTGTGGCTATCACACTCCAGACAGGCAGGGAGCTCTCCATTGGTAGGCAGAGGACTTGCCATTGCAGACATGTCCCCTGGGAGTGAGGCTGTTGCTAACACCTGTTCACTAAGTGAACAGCATAGGCGTCCTCAGAAGCTGGTGGGGCATTTGTGATACCTGGGCTTTACTATGAGAATGTGTTTGCATGCCATCTCATTGACCATGTCCTGCCCCATTTGCCCTCCTTGCAGTGGAAGATGCCTCCAGCCAGAAGGAGAAAATAGAGGTGGCATCTGCAGAGCAGACTGAGGCCATACCCAGGTAAATCTGCAGATGGGGTGTTTCTTTCTTTCTTTCTTTCTTTTTTTTTTTTTTTTTTTTAAGTGTGGATATCTGGAGATTCGTGACATGGGGGGTGACAATGTGCAACTGGAGTCCATTTATAGCATTCAGAGTTCCTTCCAAGTAGACTCTGGGAGCACCTCTTGAAAGCTCCATGTCTAAGGTGGGCCCCAAACACTTTCCACGTCAGCCCCATGTCCAGCCTCCATTGGACAGCTGCAGAAGTTTCCCTGGGAAAGTCACCAGGCCAGGGCATTCCTAATGCCACTGCCTCTGTGTGGCCCATTGAGAGAATGACCACTCACTCAGCCTGTCGGTTGTCTCTCATCAGCCCCCCCACCCCGCAGTACAATGGTAGATACAGAGAATGTCCACTGCACCCATGCACTCCTTAGTGCTGAGGGAATGGGGACCATCCTGAGGTGCTCTGTGGTGTTAACGGGCTTTAGGAGGGTGTGAGAATTCCACCAAAGGGGACTCTTTCACTGAAACTAGGCAACTGGCTTCTGGCAATCTTGTCCTTTTCTGTCCCCCCTGGGGAAGGGGGGTGAGTGTTGGAGAGGGGCGGTGAGCCCTGTGCTCCAGTGAGACTTCTGGCCTTCTACTGACAACCTCCTTGTCTCCTGTCTTGCTGTCCAGTTTCTCTACATCCTGCTGGGTCTGCCCTATCTGTGTGAAGGGTCACTGTGTCTGAAGCAGGGAGGATCTAGATCAGAGGCTTTTAGAGGGTGATCCTATCCCTATTGGGTGAAAGATGTTTTCAAAATGCTAGGCAGGTTTGGTGCGACTGGGTTGGAACTGAAAGAATTTGTGTTAAGTCCTCATCTTTTCCGCTCCTCCTGTCCCCTCCTCTGCATTCACACCTCAGGGTGGGTGAAGATCCACCCCCACTGGAAGGGCCAGATGTCATCGTGCCTATCCTCAAGGATGATGGATCCTACCTGCTCTGTGCATATTGGGCTGATGAGCCTGAAGCCCCAGTCCAGGCCTGGGCTGGGGCCCTGCACCCTACAGCCCAGCAGCCCATCTGCTGTGCTGAGGCCATTCTCGGTGAGTCCTTTGATGTGACTCTAGCTGCAGACCTGATAAACCTCCTGAGTGCACTCCTATAACCTTGGCCTGGTGCTCTGACTCCACTCATCTTCTGGAATCCTAGGGAATGTACTGAGGATTCCATCCTGTGGTTGCCTGTGCTGGCTCATGCCTCTCAGGATCTACTAAGAACCACAGTGTCAGCATGGCACCAAAAGGCTCCTGTGTGTGTGGAGCCCTGAGGGTTCACATGTTCATATTTTGGCATGGTGGAGGAGTCTGGGAGTCCCTCACCATGGCTTAGGATTGGATGAGCCCCCATTGTGTGGTTGATCACTTAAAACACATCTGGGTGTCAGCGCCATGGTGCAGTAGGTTAATCCTCTGCCTGTGGTGACAGTACCCCATATGGGCACCTGTTCTAGTCCTGGCTGCTCCACTTCCAGTATAGCTCTCTGCTATGGCCTGGGATAGCAATATAAGATTGCCCAAGTCCTTGGGCCCCTGCACTCGCATGGGAGAACAGGAAGAAGTGCCTGGCTCCTGGCTTCAGATTGGCGCAGCTCTGGCTGTTGTGGCCATCTGGGGAGGTGAACCAATGTAAGGAAGACCTTTCTCTCTGTCTCTCCCTCTCACTGTCTGTAACCCTAACTCTCAATTAAAATAAATAAAATCTTTAAAAAAGTAACCCACACCTGGAACTTACAACATATAGCCATGGGATTGAGAGCAGCTGATCACTTTTGGAAGATCAGGATGCCAAATGAGTGAGAGGACACACGCCCAGCAGGGAGGGAAATTTCCACTATTGGGCAGAGGACCTGTCTAAACAGGCATGTCCTCCTGTTTGGGAGCTGTTGCTAAGCAAGATAGTGCCACAGCTGGACAGCATAGATATCCCTGTGTGACTGTGGGTGGTACCTGAGCTTTAATATACCTTCTCTTTTGTTTGTCATCTCATTTACCATGTCCTGCCCCATTTGCACATCTTTGCAGTGGAAGAGCCCTCATCACAAGAGGAGGAAGGGAAGGTGGCACATGCAGACCAGGCCGAGGCTAATCAGAGGTAAATCTACAGATGGGTTGAGGGTGTTTTACTCTGGACATCTGGCATGCCAGACACGGGAGGAGAGAAAGGGACCCATGAGCCATTTTTCCCATTCAAATCTCATCCTACAGACTGTGGACCATGTCTTGAAAGCCCCATGTGCTGAGGCAGGTCACAAACACTGTGCAGGTCACCAACTACATATCCTCTTTGGAACCTACATAAGTTTTCCTGGGGTCCAGTCATGCCGAGGACATTCCTCATGCCACACTTTTATGTCACCTCCATAAAAAGTGTTTGGCAGCTCCCTCAGCCCCTCTGCTTGTGCTTCATCCACATCCCTGCAGTACAACAATAAAGACAGGGATGTCCAATGCACCAATGCTCTCCACAGTGCTTAGTGAAATGGGATCAATGCCAAGGGCATCTTGGTTGTTAAACTGCTTTCATTGGTTGGAAGCATTCCAGACCAAGGGGATTCTTCTCCCTGAAACTAAACAGGCTTCTGGTCAGCTTGTCCTTTCCTGTCCCAGGGGGCTGGGAGAGGGACACAGAACCCTCTGATCCTCAGTGCCTTCTGCCCTTCGGCTGCCATCCTTCTCTCCTCTGTCTTCCTGTCCCATCCTTCTCTGCATCCTGCTGGGTCTTAGCTATCTGTGTGAAGGCTCACTTTGTCTGCACCAGGGGAGGATCTAGATCAGATGGCTCATAGAGATTGATCCTTTCCCTGTTGGCTGACAGACCTTTCTGGACTGCTAGGAAGGTTTGGTGGAACAGGGTTGGAACTAAATGACTTTGTGCTAAGCCCTCATCTTTTCTACCTCTTCCGTCCTCCCCTCTGCATTCACACCTCAGGGTGTGTGGAGATCCACCCCCACTGGAAGGGCCAGATGTCATTGTGCCTATCCTCAAGGATGATGGATCCTACCTCCTCTGTGGATATTGGGCAGATGAGCCTGAAGCCCCAGCCCAGGTCTGGGCTGAGGCCTGGCATGCAAAAACCCAGCAGCCCATCTGCTGTGCTGAGGCTTTTTGGGTGAGTCCTTAGATGTGAATCTTGCTGCAGACCTGTCAAAGTGCCCGAGTGGACTCCTATGATTCAGGCCTGCTTGCTGTTACTCCGCAGGGAAAGGTGGTGATGTGGCAGGCTGTCCCCTGGGCTATATCTGGATGGACAGAGGCAGAACCCATGGTGGAGTTTGCAGCACAGTTGTAGTGTGGCTGGTGTGTCTTAGCCTCATAGTCCCAGGTTATGCCCCCCTTTCTGACACACTTGATGTGCCTGAAGCACGTGATGGGGCATGGCCCCAGCTTTTGTTACTAAACTTTTGTTGCTGAACAAATTATTTACTCTTAAGTATTTATATCTCATTTGAGGGTTTTGGGAAAAAAATCTGTATTCTTTCTGTTGGACTATTAAGTCTAATGGTTTTCAGAATGTCTGACTTAGAATTGTTTTGTAGATTCTAGGTTTTCTTAGTAACTCATGCACTGCAGACAAGCTAGGTTTGGTCCTAGTCTCTGTCACTGCTGAGCAGTCCCTCCAGACTCGGCTGGCAGCAGGCCCTGACCAAGACTCTCATTTGATTTCTTTCTGTCTCCCTCTCAGGTGCTAAGAACTTCCTCTGGTGGATACCATGAAACCTGACTCTGTTCATTCCAGTACCCCATTTATATTAAAGTTTGGTTTTGTTAATTATTTGGGTTGAATATTTTGCTCCATAATCTTTAAACCTCACAAATACATGGATTAGTATAACACTGGAACCTGGAATTCTAGGTGTCTTCTGATAACTGTAGTCAAGATTGCTCCTATGCCACAGGATGTGTCTACATGCATCAAGTCTAGTGAAAAAAGCCAGACATAGTCCAATACCATGTGAGTACAGGTTAAAGCAGACCTGCTAGGAGTGCACAGTAAGGAGGCAGTTCTAAGGTGAACGCAAGAATGCATATACTCAAGATGAGCATGAGAATCTCTCAAGACAGTGAGGGAGTGTCATTAGAAAGGCTTGTGGGACTCTTCTGGAATCTTAGTGGGGATATTCACTTTCAACAACATATGAAGGTGTCCCCTTGAATTTCATGGGTCTTTCTCCATACTGGTTTACAAAACAAGGAAAATGATCATTTCCTGTCAGCACATCATCACAGGAAGCACACAGAGAACTACAAAATTTGGCTGTTTCTCTTCTGCACAGTGCAGTGAGCCTTGGGCCCCTTGCTGCCTGACTGTTGAGCAAAGGGTAGGAGGTGGCCCACATCCCAGCCAGGCCCCAGTGGTGGTGTATGACTGGTGGAGGCCTCCCTCCAAGGAGAGTGTTGGCAACTGTAGAACCAAACTTATGTCCCTGGACTGACTCAGTGTCTCTGAGAAGCTGAGAAAGAGACAAAGAGAAACAGAGAGAGGGAGAGGGAGAGAAAGAGAGAGAGATCTTCCATCCACTGGTATGCCCGTGACAAGTGCAATGCTACAACCACCAGGCAATAGGCTGGTGGACCCGTTAAATAGAAGAAGAGACAGAAACCCTGGAAAGGAAAGGACCCAACAACTGGAGCCACTGCCTGCTGCCTCCAAGTGTGTGTGTTAGCAGAAATCTACACCTGGACGTGGAGCCGGGACTTGAACTCAGGCACTCTGATACAGGATGTTGCTGTCCCAAGGGGTGTAGTCCCTGCTGTGTCAAACAGCAGAAGTTAACCAGGGGAATCCTGGAAAGGGAAAGGCAGAGATGACCAGTAAGGTTCTTAAAAAGATATTACATCTTGGGCCAGGAACTCCGTCTGCCTCATGAGCGTCTGAGCCACTGTGGCTCAGGGTCTGTATTTCTTATGACAGAGACAGCTGAGAAACCATAGAATGGTTCCTGAGCACTCTCAAGGGAGGAAAGTGAGAACATTTCAGGAGTGCATCCTTCCCTTGCCAGGTGGAACAAATTAGGAGCTCATAACATGGAGCCGAATCTTTAGTGCAGAGGTTAAGATGCCCGTGTCCCACCTTAGAGTTCACCTGGGTTCACTTTGCAACCGTGCTCCTGACTAAGAACCCTGTAATGCAGACCCTGGGAGGCAGCAGATGTCTCAAGTAATTATTGGATTCCTGTCACACACAGGATGGAGTTGGCTTGGGACCCCACCTCCTGGCTTTGGCCCCAACCAGGGACTACTTTGAACATTTGTGGGAGGAATCGGTGGATGAGAGGTCTGTCTGTTGTTCCTCTGTCTCTCTCTCTGCCTCTCTAGTGTATGCAAAAGGGGATTTTTAAAAAACACCTGGTACACCAGGCAGCTGTGTGGCCATTTCATGTTGTTTGGGCAATGCTGGGAAGCATGTGCCAGAGATCAGTCCCCTTTGTACAATGGGAAACAGTCATGTCTGCTTCTCTTCAAAGTCCCAAAGCATTCAGTAATCACAGAGAAAGGGGCCAGGACCTCCATTTGGGTCTCTCACTTGGGTGACCCTAACTGGCTCATTAAGAGGAAGCTGGATTGGAATTAAAGTAGTCAGGACTGGAACCTGTGCTCCACATGGGATGCCAGTGTTGCAAGTAGTGGCTTAGCTGCCTATGCCACAATGCTCGCACCCATAAAAGGCATTTTTGAGACAACTGCAAAGCCTAGAAGTGTCCTGAGGCTCCAGTAGTAGTAACATGTTCCAATTGCCTGACTTCAGTCATTACCATTTGTATATACCAGAGACTGTCCCTGCTTTGGGAAATACACACTGATACACTTGGTGAGAACCCATGGAGTGTCAATGTACTCTGAAATGCCTTGGGAAAGATTGTTGGGAGTAAAAATTTTCTATCTATCTTAATTAAAAATACAAAAACAATTTATATCATTGGAAAAAGAATGAAAACAAAAAATAGTTTCTGCTAATAAAATACTAATAGATGTTCAATAAATCAAAAAAGGAACATTTAAGACATACTTCAAAAATAATGAAAATACTTTTATAATTATTTGTTTCAACAAGTATAAGAAATCAATTGGTAAATACATCATAAATATATCATCACACTGATGGTTATAGACTGGTACAAAATATATTTCATATGGAAGTCATGAATATTTTAGATTCAAAATTCTGGACAGAATTAGGAAATCAGAAATTTAAGCAGTCTAAATCAGTTGTAATTCTCAAGAGGAGGCTGGAAATACATGATTTAAATCTTGCTATGTATATACATTAAATTTATTGTAATTATAACAAAAATGAAAAAAACACCTGTGGATCTTTTTGATGCAACAGATATATATTAAGCTGAAGCTCACCAGTGGATTGCAAGATTTTAATGAATACCCAAGAAAAAGTCTAAAATATATGTACTATTATATCTGCATTTTGGCATAACAGTGTCCAATAATTTATGAAATTTCAAAGGAATTCATTGCAGTTCCCTTAGTATAAACTGCTACCACACTAAGCTGTATAAGCGTCACTATTGATTTGATGCTTCCTCTTCCACTATCATTTAACTTTTGAAAATTTTATTTAATTGAGAGAGTGTGTAGGAGAGAGAGAGCATGCACATGTGATTTTATCTGATGGTTTACGATTTAAATGCCTGTGATGTTCAGGCCTCAGCCAGGACTGTAGTCTGGAGCCAGGATCTCAATCCAAGTACCTCCTTGGCTAATGGCCATTATTGTGTAACCCTGCATAGAAAGAGCCTTGTGGGATGCTGCTGTTCTGCTAGGTCACCTTGCTGCTGGTGCTGCTCCTGGCTGAATAAAGACTCTGCATCTGCTTACAGCTCTGGGAGTGTTCTTTCAGAATCTGACCCAGAGTGCCTCAGCATCCCTGATGACTGTGCATGGGTTTGACATCTCTCACAGTCCACAGTATTTGGGTTTCCTGCCAGGGAACATGTGGCCTCTTATAGGACCATAATACCTTGTGGCAGAGGTCCTAATGTCTTGGACTCCTCTTCAGGAGTGGAAACAGGTAAATGGGCTTTGCATGTCCTGGAAGTCATAATGCTGGAAGGAGATCAGACCAGTGCTGTGTGGACAGGATGGATGTCGCTCACCATGTTAGGGTGGCAGCATGAAGGCTTCCTCACTGTGTTAAGGTGTCAGTGTAAGACACCCATATCAGTGATGCCCAGGTAAAGGAGCTATGTGCTGGGGAGATGCAGCTGAATATCTGGGCACAGGCTTTGGAGCAGGACTGGCCGTGTCTGTAGAGGGCAGAGTATGAATGGGAAGTGAGCAGCCCAGTGAGGAAGGACCCAGTGAAGAGCTGGGCCCCTGCCACCTCTGCATGCCCACCATGGGAGAAAGTGTCAGCTGGAGCTCAACCAGCATATAGCCCCAGGACATGGGCCACAAGGCCTCCCTCAGGAAGTGAATTTGCTAATACTGCTTACACCCCAACCAAGCAGAGGGAGTTGGGGAAGCAAGCAGACAGAGGCCAGGAGAACCAAGGAAAGTATGGCTTTTGTGCTTGTGGAGTGATGGAGTTGATAGCCTCCAGTTGTCCCCATTAGAAATAAAGAAATTAACTTCCATTACATTTCACCCATTACTATGACAATGTCTGTAAATCAGCCATTGCCTTGGAGACTTGCAAGGGGATCATTCCCTGATGGAGTGCTTAAGGGCTACTGTGTGAGTAAATGGGCCATGCATGTGGACTTGGCTCACGTTATTAGATAAATGCCCATGTGGCAGGGTATGTTTAATGTGAATACTAGGGGCACTGGTGTTGAGCACTTAACCACTCAAATGAAAAATTTGGCCTCTTTACCTCCTCCTGCCTTTGGGTCTCTGCAGCCATAATAACCACCTGTATTGACCGCCATGTTTGTGAGGTGACCGATGTTATGGAAAGATGTAGATGATGTAGAGATAAAGCAGCAGGATCACAGGGTGGTACAACTGCTAGGAAAAAAATAAAGGCAAACAAATGAAAATTCTGCCTCGGGGAGAGGGAAAAACAAGAAAATGGGTCATTAAAATGTCCCAGATATAAATGTGGATTGACCTGCCAATGGCAGGAATAAGAAGGGACAAAATCAATCACCAGCCAATGACGTGCTGTTAATGTTAGGTGACAGCTGCCCACTGGACAGCACTATTGGAAAATACCCATGAGAGAAAAGAACTCAATTCACCCAATATGCCTCCAAGATTTCATGGGGGCCCCAAGAGAAGAGTTTTCCCTATTAGACTACTGGAAAGGCTGAGGAACTGAGTTGTGGGGGACCCAGGTGAATGGGAGGCCACATGTGGAATTAACAACCTATTGTCCCTCCTAATGTTCAGCATATGCTGATACTGGTTGACACTGGAGCTGACTGCAACCTTCTGTATAAGATTCCTGATTGCTCCAGTGTTTCTGTGGCATCTGTTGATGGCTATAGAGACCACACAATCTGGTGTGACAGGCAACAATGACTTTAGGCATAGGCCATCTTCTGCCCAGGCATACACAATTTATGTCTCCTCAGTACCAGAGTATATTTTAAAATAGATGTGCTCAAAGGATTGACTGTGCTCACCACACAGAGTGAATTCCCATTGTGGGTGTGAATTTTAAAGCCATGGTCAGGGGACACCTGCTGCATGTGGTAGTGACTTTGGAAGCACCCTAATTAGTAGTCTGGGTGTGACAATATTGATTGCTTAGAGGAAGTGAAGAAATTGGACGGACTATCCTGAAATTGGAGAAAGCTGACATTGTGTATCTTGCACACAGTCCCCACAACTAACTAATACGGCTGGTGTGGAAGCAAGATGGTACCTGGTGAATGAATATAGATTATTGAGAGTTAAACAAGGTGACACCACCTCTGCATCCTGCTGTT